ATACTTACCATAGATAATAATAGTGTCACCGATGATGAAATACCGTATGTTATCGTTGTATCTGACGGCACATGGTTGAATAGATCATGAAAAACAAATTACAATGCCCTTTTTGGTGCGGTAAGTATTTATTAATTTATTATTATACACCCCTTGCCCATAGGCCATGAAAATTAAAAAGCGGGAAAGTAGTTACCACTTTTCTGTACTTTAGATATGTGTTAAATTTTTATGCATTGCCGATAAAAATTTAATATTTCATACATTTTAAATATAAAATAATTTAAATTTACATGATTTTGGAAAATTCAGCGCAACTTAAATTCCTCATAAAAAAAAATTGTGCCTATGTATCTTTAAAATTTTTAATTTACTAAATAATCTACTAAAATGTGGGACCTTGTATTCAATTTTTAATCCTTAGCTGCTATGCAAATTGAATATTTTATAAAATTTTAAGTAAAAAATACCTTACCAACTCATATTCATATTGAACATAAAATATTTATAAAAAAAATGTGCCTATGTATTTTCAATATTTTGCAACGATATAATAACAACCTATGAGGAAGTTATTTACCTAATTCAATTTTTAATTGAACATGTAACTATAAATATCGGTAAAAATTTTAAATATTTCTCAGCTCATTATACCTAATGTTTTTAGGCTTAGATTTAGAACTAAAAAATCCTTTTTATGAGTATTCGAGATAAGTTATAGACACAGTACCTATGTTAAAAAGCTATACCAAGTGAAAAAAAAGCTTCAAAACACGAATGCTTCAAAAATTAAGATGGAAATTCCACTTTCATGGAAGCTGGCATAACTGTAGATAGTTTACATTAAAGTTTATCAATGCATAATACCATAATCTTAACATTAACTAAACCTTATAATGTAGGTACCTGATATTTACATTAAAAAATCGAATGCATATATCATTTACTGAGGAACTATTGCAATTATATCTTAGATGTTTCTTCTCATCGAAAGTGTTCATCTGAAGCTGTTGTACCTGGTTTTTTGCAAAAATGCTGAAAGATAGACGTCTTAAATTATGGTGAGTTAGTGAATTTACTAATATTAATTTTTATAGTATGAACATCTGGGCATCATTCGATTGCGTCCCATTTCAACCTTTTATAGCTTTTCAGTATGTCGATTGCGTCCACAAGTCGGATAGGTAAATTATTTTTTCTTACCTTTATATGTTCCGATTGCGTCCTGTTGTATGATATATAAGCATAACATTTTGTAAAACGAATAGTCATTATTAATAATTATTTTAATAATAATTATACAAAAACCAATAAAAATAAATCCAAATATATAAGAATAAATAATTTAAAATACAATATTTAAACTTATCAATTATACGGATTTCCTTATTTTTTTCACTAAAAATGGTATTCATTATTAAGTCTAAACTTTAAAGTATCTTTCGATTCTAATAAGGCACTTGACGTACTAAATCGCTACGTGATCGTAAATCGATAAGAGTATCAACCTTAAGATAAAATGTTCGTTAACTCATCAAGTAAAAACCAATTCGTATTTAAATATACCTCCATACCATATATGACAAAAATATTAGAATTAATAAGTCAATTTATTTGTCACATTATCGCTTACCTACTATACAATAGGACGCAATCGGAACACGGAAAAGGTGGGCAAAAAATCGTTTACCTGCATCTGGGATGTAATCGACAAACTCCAGAACATTTTTTTAATTTAACTTATCGGCTATGACATAATAATGTGCTGTAACAAGGGCGATAGTTCTCAGAAAATAAATGAACCTCACGTTTATAGAAAAAGTAGCCCTTTTAAAACAGGGTATGTTGAATAGCCCATTATATATCACGTATTTGGTTATCATAAAGAATTTGCTAGGTAAATTATTTTATTGATAACTATTTCGCATTATACTTACAATTTTAAATAATTTACAAAAACATATTTTCTGATTATTTAATTTAGTGATTTTTGTAATAGCTCAAAAGAACACGAGATGAATTTGATTCCACAAATGAAAAGCTGTGGTTGAAGGTTTCAATTAAGTTATTGCAAAGCATGTTGATGGAAAAAGAGTCAATTTAAAAAAACAAAAAACTAGGTAGGTACTCATTTATATTGAAATAAAATATATAAGCATTTTACAAAATTATTTTTATTTTGGATCTTATATACAATGCTAGATGTAAAACTGCAGCTAAATAATTTAATTATAGACCTACTTATTTAAGTTACATATACAAAAAAAGTTAGAAACATCAGTCCAATGAAACTAAAATATATATATATATTAAGTTACGTGAATATTTAAATAAAAGATGTTTAAACTTTGAAAAAAACCTCTAGGTTATTGTTTTATTCATTTTTACTAATATTTTAATAATAATAGTAGTAGTTATTAATAATTGTACTGTTATAATAAAAAAAAAAATATATAAATAAACAATTTTAACGTTTTCATTTCACGTGAGTGAATATTACGTAGCGGTAAGTAAAAGAATGTCTACCTGTATGTTCCTTTACATTTAGAGCAAAATACTGTAGGTGTGTCACATATTAGAGCTTTCAGTTGAACTTTTATATTAATGTTATTACAAACAATGCAAATCTCATGAAAAAAACTCAATTCATTAACTAAATTTAATAAAAACTTATTACTATTTTGTGGCTTAAGTTGCCCATAATATGCTCCAATTATAAACACATCTCAACTTTTGCTAAATTAGAAAAATAACCCAGACAAGGCCACAATTGACTAGGATTTAAGGGAGACCATCAATTCTTACTACTAATATCAAAATAGACAGAAGTGTTAAATTATCATATATTTTAAACAATTGTTCTATTTCAGCTTCTAGTCCAAAATGATAGTATAAGCCTTCACTAATTTCTTTCACTAAAGTTGTGGTAGATGTTTGAACTAATGTATGTGAATCTTTAGGCAACAATTTAAATTAAATCTTTAAATTGAAGAAATAGAGCGATGATATACTTTTTAGAAAGTCATCCACAGAGACGATCTTAGAAAAAATCGCGGGGGAAGGGTGTAGTCTACAAAATTGACGACTAAACTTTTTATAGTACGACCCATTTTGGAAATTATTTGAATTTTGGTGACCCACAATAACATGATGAGTGTATCTAGTTTAAAATATAACGCGACTCACTTAAAATGAAAATATAAAAATATGATCGCGACTCATAGTTTAGTAACTAAATTACTTTTAGTTTTATTCTGCTGACTGAAAATCAAATACTGCCGAATGGGAGGGTGTAACACCCCCCATGACCCCCTTCAGTTCGTCCTGGTTATCTGAAGCCAAATGAGTTATATTATGGCAAACAGTCCACCTAGCCTAAATTAAGTTCAATACAGTGAATAATAATTTAAATAATTTAAATTACATATTATATTACTTAAATACATCAATGATCAATATATACCTATCTATTATAATGAGTAGATATAATAAAAATCTACATTTATTAGGTAATGTCTTAAAATATATGATTAGAAAATTATAGAACCACTTAGTACTTGTATATTATATCAATAGCATAATTTAAGTTATGATTAATGACATAGGTACCTAACTAATAAATATATACCTTCTAAAATATATAAATATGATTACGTGTAGCAGTATCGTATGCAGGATTTTAGTACGGTTTGGATTTTCACTTTTCAGTATGGATCGATCAGATACCTGTGAGTGCTCTGTCCCCCTCCTACTACACTATAGCTAAACTAATAAATATATCATCAACATTTTATAACACAAAATAATTTTTTTAAATTCCTATTTTTGTATTAATTGTTTTCTCTTAAAATATAATGTATATTGAAAACAAAATAATAAAATAACTAGGTAAACAATATTTATTCAGTTATGAAAATAATAATTTCATAAATTATACTTATTTATATTTTTATAGTTAATTTATAATAAATGATTGTTCAAAAGACCATAGTCCATAGACAATAGACATTATTTAACATATAAAAAGAATGTTATGAAGTGAAAGAAATTTGGGTGGGGGAGGGATAAAATCCTAGAACCCTACCACTATGTATGCTACTGATGTGTAGTACATACCAGCTGTATAATAAGAAAATTAAATTGTATCTTGTAGGTATCCAAGCAAGGAAAAAAATATTTATTATTATTTTATTTTTTTTTTTTTTTGTAAGTATAATTAAAAAGAGTAAATTAGGGCAAACAAGGATAAGTAATGTTTTAATCATACAATCTCAAATAATTTAATTAATTAAGAGCATTATTATGATCATGAAAATAATGTATAATTATTTTAAACATTAATTTTAATAGATCTTAGATACCTACCTATATACAGGAATTATTTACAATGATAGGCACACATAAGTGAAGAATAATAATAGTAATAATTTAATTGATATATAAAATTAAATAAATATTCAACTTTTCCTTTTGACAGGTACTTATGTAATAATAATAAAAATAATAAATAATAATAATTTACCTATAGTAAACCTTTAACCTATATATTAATATCTAAGGACTGACAGGTGTACTAAATACTGATGATAGCAGTGTTAAGGAGTAACTATTATTTTAAGTTATAAATTCCTGTAATGGCTGTAATAAAATTATTTTTTAAACTATTATTATTAAATTTGTAATTTGATGATAAATTAATTACATTTCTTTCAAGTAATTTAGTTTTTTTCATAGTAAAATTACAAAATTACTTATTTATTACTTTTTCTTGTTTAATATTTTTAAACTAGCACTTTTCTGAGAAATAAACATTAGTTTATAAAGTACCGATAATTAATTATTTTAAATTGCAAAATTTCAACTAAGATAAAATGCTACGATTTTAATATTAAAAATCAAGATTTGATAGAGGATTAACCATAAGAAGTAATAACTCGTATAAAGAGGTGTAACATTTTTTTTATATATGTATCTTATACATTATATAAATAATTATAACATAAATTAATTTTTATTTATTTTTTAATATAATAACATGATAATACATCAATAGGATTACCAACCATATTCTACAAGATTCTACATAAGTTACATATCCATCATAATGACCAATCCAATGACGAGATAAAATCGACTCCTACTATACAACAGAACAATTACTGCAGTTTTTTTTATTGCAAGTATAACTAATATAAGTATATGGATATTAAGTATCATTGTTTTGTTACAAAGTTCAATAATATATAATATTATGTTCATTATGTAATATTATACACATAGCACATGTTTATATATATATTTCTTTTAATACGAGTTCTAAAAATTGCCAAACTGTTGGAAAATCACATAAAAAATTTAACAATAAACTGCACTTTGATGCGAATGAATAATGGTTGGAAATTACCTATTATAGAACGTATAAGGTCTATAGGTAGTTTACAAAACTTATAATCATTTACAATTAATGCATACACTTGCAAAAATAAAATCTATAATAAAGCCTATACTAAATCCCTTAAAAATTATCCGTTTGCAATACCCTTAAAGCATAAAAGAACATTTCCGAGGAATAAATTACAATAATTAGTAGATAAACTAAATGCTATAAATCTAATTGTTCATTGTTTTATTAGTTAAAAAAAAAAAAAAAATAATAAAAAAACTTTGTAATATTAGATATAAAAAAGAAATTAAGTAGGTACGTCTATAGTTCATGATTAATAATAATAATAATAATAAAATAAGTGTTAGATACACTAAAAATCTATTCATAAGTTCAAATTAATATAGTAAAATTCTACAGTTCAAAAAATTAAAACATTAATACAATGTTTATTATTAAGTATGTTATTTTGAGAATCTTTAATGGTTTGAACAATTATTTAGTTGTTAGATTAAAATTTAACAAGAAATTATTCAATAATTGCTGAAGAAACCATTTGGTTGACACCACAAGATCCATCACCTCTGTAGAGCAAATAGTAACCCTATAAAAAATATTACATTATAGTATTCTATATCATAAAACTTTATAAAATATATAGTAAATAATAGTATAAACAAGCACATAGTATTAAAGTAACAATAAAATATTTTTTTCACACTATTTGGACCACTTTTTTAATTGTTAATAATAAACAACACATAATTATTGATTAAATATTATGACTTATTATGTGCCTTAATTTTTACATCCCATTACCTGCATGCCCCATTTGTCACCCCAACTGTTTTTAATGGTCCAAAACGGTAAAGTTGTATTTAAATAAGGATATTCTGAAAAAAAAACATATTTTAATATATTTGTGTTTAACTTACTTTTTCTCCCCATCCAGGTCCCCAACTATTTTTAATTAACCAATATGGTAAATTTTTATGGGTATATTTAGTTCCTAAAATGAAAATATTAAAGGTTAACCAAAGCAATATTTTAATTTGAAAACGATCATAAATATTATTATTTATTATATTGGTACACATTGATTAATTATTATTAAATATAATGCAATAACTTACTGTGGACACCGTATCCAACAATGGCTACACCATGATCCAATGATTTGGGGCTACATAATGCATGGATTGGATGTGATACACCACCCATATAAAACTGAAATAACAATGATTACTTATATACAAAGAGTGTAAGTCAGTCAAGAATGTGTAGTTAGTTTTAATAAAAAATTTTAAATAAAGATTTAAAAAAACAAGAAAAGTCACTTTGTTGTACAGTAGGTTATTTAATCTTTAATCTATCATAAAATCTATCACTGAGAGGGTACTAATGTTATAAATATTTGCAATTTAAATTTAATAAAAAACGATTCTGAGTGGAAACAATCTGTCAGTCTAAGTACAAAATAGTTTGTAATCATGGCAATTTTAAATGTTAAAAAGAAAAAGTATTGTGATTACGTATTTTTGATATTTTTTAATTTCATTAAGAACAAACGAGGAGTTATGTATTCAATTTTTAAACTTCTTTATTCAAAAATGAAAATTTTTATCATATTATTATATAAGTCATAAAAACTAAAAATAAAGGTAGAAAATTTCTAATTTTTATAAACGACTCAAAAAGAGGCAAAATATTTTTAAAATTTTATCGTATATAAACAATGTTAATGTTTGGTAACAATTTACTCTACTTATTTTTAAAAGTATTGAAAAAATTTCTTTGAGCCTTTAATGAACAAATAACTACATACATTTTGCTATGGGAAACTTCTGAAATTTGAAGATCAAAAGATTTTTCCTGTATCATAAAAGTTTTTCATTATTCTACTTAAATATCTTATTTCCTATTCCAATACAGCATGAGGTTATTAATATAGGAATATTTTAATCTACTTTATAATTAACATTTTGTTCTTTATAGATTTATTGAGATTCAGATATAAATTTATAAAGTAAAGAATTTAATGAATAAAATACAGAATTTCTTAGTTTTTTCAATACCTCATATTACAAAATATTAAAATTGTAAATGACATACCTGCATAGCATTAGCATTAACTCCAACAGATAGGGGCCCATGCTTAACTAAAAATTTGGCAATATCTTCTTCATCTGTAGATACATTCACAGCCTTGGATATTGATACCTTCACTTCACTTTTTTTTAATTGGCAACCTTTTCGATCTGCGTGACCTTCATAAGGATAATCTGACTCTGTCTCTAAGCCTCCTAAATTTTCGACAGCTTCAAATGCTTGAGTCATTAAGCCACCACCACATCCATTATCCAAATTATCACAGTCAATCAGTTCTTTAAAAATAAAATTTATATTAATATAATAAAAATCCAATTTTGAAATATTTAATCTCAATTGATAATTAATAATTACCTTGTTCCGAAAGGGACAGAAGTTTTTTAGATTTTAATGCATATTGTCCTTCAATATTGGCTATGGCTGAGAATGCCCAACAAGATCCACAAGCTCCCTGAAATAATAATGTAAAAAAAATACAATTAATAATTTTATTCTCATTTTTCATTTTATGTACTCTATATTTGTATTATTTTTCAAACAAGTTACATTGTTTAAATGTAGAAGAAAATGATTATTGATTATGAATACTAATAAAACATTTATTATTGATTAAAATTAAATAAAAACAGCTTTTAAATACCTGATTTTTTACTGGTGTTACTGCATTGTGGTCTCTCCAATCAAATTCATTAGGAATAGAGGCGTTCTGTGGAATAGCTGCCATAGGTAATGTGTTTTTACTTGACAATGATGAGTCCAGGCCCAAATATTTCTTTTTAAATTCATTTTCTATTAATCCATTAGTAAAATATTAAATTCTTATTTTATTATACAAAAATGTTTTTAGTAACCAAAAGTGAAATTTGTTTAATTTTAGATAATGAAAAAAGGAAGACATTTAAAACAATAAGTTTATTATAAGATTTTGCACTAAAAGTGTTTCATAGAGTATTATGAAATTCCTTTACTAATTATAATTTAGTTAAATTTGTTTATTGAAATTTTAAAGAAATTTTAAATACCAAAAAATAAATACATATTACCAAGACAAAGTTGTTACAAACTTTTTTTAAGTTATTTTTTTATACAATCTAAAAATTTAAAATATTGAATCATGACATGATAAATTGTAATTTTCAAATATTATTTTTAAATTATATGATAAATTACTTGTAAGATCTGCAAATTGCGTAGCTCCATAAATAGCACTTCCTTGTTCATGGGCTTGTAATAATTTTACTTTCTTCATATTAGCAGCAAATATTCGGAATCTTCTATTCTTTTCTTCAAGACTAGAATACATCTTATTATTTGCCATGATAAAATTTTCAAAATCTGACTTTAATTGTAATCGATCATCATTAATATTTTTCTTCGGGATAAATGTTTTCTAATAAAAAAATAAAAACTGTTAACAGATTTAAAATTTAATGAAGTGTATAATTGTATCCTTAAGATAAAATTAATTATAGCACACAGGACCAATGAAAATACTGCAACTTCTTCAGTGAACTGATAAGTTTAGCATAATAATCAATAAATAATTAACAAAAATTGAATCTGTTAATAATAATAAATAATAAAACATCAAAATGAAATATATACCGAGCGTACTTCAGGTTTAAAACATAATGGGCATAAATAATTAATATTTAATATTAATTATAAGTGAACTTACAGAATTTGATGTATCTATGTTGGTTTTATTTGGTTTATAACAATTGAATTTTAAAGTATTTTTGTTGTTTTCCCATGCTTGTTCCCACACTTTAATATTACAAATTCTACATTTCTGTAAAATAACAAAAAATACATAGTAAAAGTAGCAATAATTAAATTTTTATAATAGATAATCCATAAATAGTATAAATTATCATCTAATAATCAAAAGTCCTTAAATATCTTAAGGGAAATAAACTTTTTTTCCTCAGATATTTTATTTAAAAAAAAAAAAAAATGAAATGACAAACAATTAAGAAGAAACAATTATTATGCACTAGTACTTGTAAGTTTTAATATTATAACCTCATTTTATTTATGTAGCTTCAAATTTTATTTAAAAATTATGATAAAATAAATATCATACATTTCCACAATATTGTATTACATTATCTAAATTAGATGATAGTTGTTATTATACATTTAAAAACAAAATTATCATTCAATTATCTACTAATTAATTTGATAGATTACCTTTTTATCAACTTCACCTGTAGAATTCTCACATATTTCCATTTCAATATTATAAATAATTCCAGACACAATCTATAATATCAAATTATTTAGTTAGTTTTTATTCTGATAATTAAATAATTATAAATAAAAGTCATTTTTTTTACTTGTTTGGATACATTTATAATTTTTGATAGCACGTGTGGTTTATTAGATCCTTCTTCTTTATCAATAGACAATAAAGCATAATCCACTATATCTTGAACTTTCTTATCATTAGTATTCAAATTTAATCTTCCTCCAAGATTTACATTTTCATGTATGTCCTATGTAGAGTAAAATGTATAGTATATTTTTTTTTCATTTGGATATATTTTAATTTAATATTACTCTTTTAGTCACAGCTATATTTGAAAATGAAGCAAGTTCAGAAGGTTCAGAACAAGCCACTTTAGTAACATTTTTATTGTTCAACCACGATTGTTCCCATATGATTACATCACACGATCGACAATTCTAAAAAAGAAGTAGTTAAATAAAATTAAATAAATGACCAAATTTTCAATGAAAATTAGATTAACACACTTTGTGATCCATGACAATATCCTCGCCTTTTGATGAATCTTTTTCACACGCCAATAGTTTTATTTTATAATTTATTCCGGCTACAACCTAAATGTTAAATAATTACAAATTAGAATTTTATCTAGTTAAAATATTTTTGAATATAATTTAATATTATACCTGACTTTTTGCAGAAATAACTCGGATTAACCCCAAGGATCTTTTAGACATTGTTTGTTGTGTTATAGAATCCAATGAAAAGATAGCCAGTTGTTTCATGTTTTCAGTATCAGCATTAATATCATTGTAACCTCCCACAGGAGATGGCTACAAAAAAATAAAAATTAACCTCTATAGTAAAAAATGTAGTTTCAAACATAATTTTTAAAGGTAAAAATACAACTTTTGAAATATTACTAAGTTTTTCTAGCAATATAATTCATTTAGAAAATTAGTTTTAAGCATTCCCAACAGATTTAATAAATATGCATTTATAATGAAAATTAAATAAATGTTTTTATATTTAAAGTTATTGATGTGATACGTTTCCATCAATTCACATCAATACTTTATGTACCTAATACTTATAAATATTATTTGCAGTTATAATTTATGAAATACAAAATTATATTAATATGTTTTTAAAGTAGAATTCTTAGAATATGACCTCCTATAAAATAGGTATATTTTATAGAAAATAAATTTTCTACTATTAATGAAGGGTTACCTATCAGATTTGTAAAATTATATTGCTAAATTTTACCTTTTAATAAAATTATCATTGTAAGATTTAACTGATAATGATTATGTATAATATCAATCATGCAACTAATAAAATACAAAATTTATTATTGTACATAATATTTTTTTATATATTTAATACAATTTTAATCTTTAAATTGCAGATTTTTTATTAAATATAACTAATACAAAATATAAGCCATTTGTCAATTTTACAAAAACCATTAAAAATTATATTATTACTATTGTGATTATTAGTTTATTTTTTGGAAAACCCATCTTAAAACTTTTATATCAATATATCAGTTCTAAAAAATGTTTTGATCTTATGTTCATAATTATAATATATTATAATTTATTAATCTAGAAAAATATTAATTATTTTATAGTATCTTTAGCAAAAACTATAATTTTCTAAATACACAAAATATTTGATTGTTTTTATTTTAAAATATATATATTAAAAATAAATCTGACAAAACAAAAGATATTTCTTAGTTAACTCTTAACTTGATACTTAAACAAGTCAAAAGTCTACAATCTTAAAAAATACAGTATTTTTCATACAATTTTCTTATATTCTATACTAATATTTGTTTATAAAAAAACTATATTTTGATGTTTTGAAATTTTTCCATTTTGATATCTGTAAAAATTACATAGATAATAATTATTAAATTGTCATTTTTTAAAATAATTATATTTTGAAATGAGTTCTTACAAAAAAAACTTTATATCCATTTCAGTATATAGTATACTAGATAGTTTATGATTTCCAATTTAGATTTTTCGTCCCTAATTTTAAATTTGCAAATGTGTTTTGTAAAAATCATTTATTTTGTTTCAATATTTTGATCAGGAGTATGAATATTTTTATTGATATCGGAAATATTTATACTTGCTATTACATTCTATAAATATAAAATAAATTAAATACTTTCCTCATTCAAATAGAAAAATATTATAAATTTGTTTAACCTCTGGAGCACGAATAAAAGTACGAGAATCATGTAAAACACATGACATTTCTACAGCTTTATATGTATTGTTTTCGGTCTTATTAATTGTAACTTGACATACATCACAAACCTTAAACCAAAAAAATGTATGTAATCCCGAGAAAATTTTTTAACACATTCGAGACGGACCGTCATAATCTAAGTTACATTTGAGACAAGTCATGCGTTTGGCGCGTTATGTTTGCTATCAAATTTTAAAAATTGATATAAAATCATATACTTAAACTATTGTTTTAATGTAAAAATCTATCGATAGGCAAAATCGTAAAGATTAATTATATAAAAATAATAAATTATTTACTACATGTGAAGCAGTCACTGGAATTTAATTTGTAGCGCCCGTTGGCTGTTAAATAATAGATGGATTTATTTTCAATTATTAATTTTAGCGAAATAATTTTTCATTTTCTTAGACTCTCGTGTATCGGCTTGACAATATTTGTTTCTAAATGGTAATAATGTTATATTTATGTAGACTTGCTTATTACATATTATACCTACATAATATTGTTATTAGCTATTGAATTATTTTAAAAATAAAAATACATTGTATATATTTTATTTTTATTAGTAAAATATTATTTTTTGAAGTTTTATATTTAAAAAATAATGGTTGATTTTTATTTGTCATTTTTGATTGTGTCTTAACCCGTAAAAAAAATACAAAGAATTTAAGTTACAGAAATAATTTTTTTTTTTGACAAAATCTTTAATATTTTTGCTATATTACAATGAAATTATGAAAATTGACTAAAAATCGAAAACATAATAATTGTATGAAAAGTGGTAAAACCAGCTTGTCTCCGGGGGGGGGGGGGGGAAGAAGTAAAAATGGTCCGTCTTCTTTGTACATAGTTTTATCAAGCACCTCGCAAATGATTCGTCTCGAATGTGTTAAACACATTAAAAACTCACAAAAAAATCATTTCTTGATATTTTTTGTTCAGGATGCTTTTCTATTTCTTTTTTCTGATTCAAATCATTAAAACGACATGCTGTTACTTCTATTTTGTTTTGATTTGAAGTCTGCAATTTCAAATTTTAATTTTCTAATCTTATCTAAAAATTTTTTTTATCTTACATGTGATACATTGCCAATTTCTTCAACTTCAATTAATTTATGCCCATAATTTGAAAATCCTTCCATTGATTGCAATGCAATATCAGATAATTGTTTTATAAATGTATTAATTATTCCTTCTTCAGTATGTCTTTTTATTTTTTTATGATTGATAATATTTCTCACAGAATAACGATGGTTGTAAAACTTGGAGATAAAATGTTTGTTATTCTCATTCTACAATAGAATAATTTAGGAATGTAGTGGGTAGTAAAATAACAATCAGCAAAATTAATATTAAAAATGATCAAAAAGTTTAAATGATTGTATTCTTACTAATTTTCTTCTTTTGAATTATACAATTATCCAAAAATTTAAGAAATAAATAGTTAAAACTTAAAGTTCAAGCAAGACTTATGCCCTAGGGATATACTTCACAAAGCTATTTTTTATGTTAAATTTAGTGGCTTATATATCAATATGTTAGTCAATTTAGCAATAATGTGCATTCCAATAAGTGAGACTAAACTCATAATATATTTAATTATAATAAATGTTACACAGTGTTCCATTTATTTTAAAATGTTAATATTGAATTAACTTCATAATTATTTTTGTTTTTCACATATAGGTGAAAAGATTATATAATTACAGGCAATAAAATAATTAGTATTAACTATTTGTCTCTTTATCATCAATATAGTTAACAAGAAAAATATTTTTTCAAAAACTGAATTTTTATACTTGATATAACATAAATGTTATGTTATGTTTGGTATAATGTGACTTATAAAGTTTTGAGGTCATGTATAAAAGCACTCATTAGCATTTTTTTAAGTGTAGATCTGTTAAACTTATAGGACAATTCATTAATAATAAATTCTTCATGAGATTTTAGTTTTAGATTTTTTATATAACATAATATAATAGTAGCTTAGTCTCTAATTTTTTTCCTAAACTATCAACTATTCCTGGATATCTGATTTAGATCTTAGATACAACTGTTAAAAATAAGATATTAATTAATTATGTTTTATAAATTATACTTTTATTTAGCAGCTACCATGAATGAATGAGACATTAATTAATTATGAAGGGTATACTTAAAGTATACTGCAACTGTAGAGAATAACAGTTTTTTCTAGGTAAGGTTAGGTTAGGTTAGGTTAGATATACATTTTATAATAAAGTGGGCCTCAATTTTTAATTAAAAATATACGAGTAAGCTAAATCTAAATCTTTTTATACAATGAGAGGACAAAAATCCAATTCCATTAACTTGCCAAAAATGTTCTATTATTTCATATATTTCTAAAAACTTTTAGTTAGGATTATAAACCAGAATATATTATTTGATATTTTTATTTTTATATCATCCAAAAATATAAAAGGTTAAAATATATTATACTTTGAAGTTTGATTTTTAATAAATAAGATAAAAATAATTAATATAATATCTAATTCTTATTTTAAATACTATTTATCTACTTCTAAACCAAATTTGATGCAAGTGGATAGTATGGCCTTCAGTTAGTAGAATATTTTACCAATTATTAAGTAGTTGATATGTTACAATCAACATTTGTTAGATGAACAAAATAAAAATATAATATTCAATAAAGTTTCATATTTTTAAATTCTTACTTTACCTGAATATTTTTGCAAAAAAATACATTATAAATTTAACTTGGATAATGAAATAAATGATTGTTAAAGTTTAATTCGAATTTTAAACTTAAATATTTTAGTTGGGAATTTTAAAGAATACTATGTAAATACCTAATACTTTCAATAATATAATATTAACAAAATAAGTAAAAAATAAAAATACTTTTGTTATAATTTACAAATAATTTAACATCTAAAATTTTTAGATACTTACGCAGTTTTATGCTATTTACTATTACTATTGCTACTTAATTATATTTGTTTGTCTAAAATAAATTTTTATCAAATAATTTAATTATATATTATATAAAAAAAAAAGCATAAAACTATTACAATTTACAATGAAATCAATTAATTTTAATTAGCTGGTAGTTATTATTATTATTTATTTCAATACGAATTGCAGCTTAAAGTACAGATAGCAATTAAACATAATTAAAAATACAATTCAAAAGTTTATAAAGTAGATAGGGATATCTTTTTTATATCAGATGTAAAAAAAAAACAAGGAGAGAAAAATTACATATTATGATAATTTAAAAATTAATAGATAAATCTTTGTTAGCAATACATATCAACTATAAAATGTTTAGCTAAGAGAATAATTTGACATACACAGTGATAAAGAGAAAAGATAGGTTGAGCAAACTTGAGCATAGGTAAGTTTACCTTGGAAAGTAACTCAATACAATCAAGACTCAGCAATAAGGAAAGACCTTGTTAAAAGTTATTTTCCTATCAGTTAAGGACTGTAAATATAACTTGTTTAAAACTGCTTTTAGTTATTACGTATTTGTTATTGAATACATTTAATTATGTGTACTGAATAAGAGTCGAAATAGGGTAAACCTTAGAATAGGCAGGCAAAAAATCATATTTTCTAACCATTCAACATGTATTACAGAGTATATAACATTTTTCCTGGTTACTGTTATAATTTAATTTGGCCGAGTTTGGCTATTGCTAGCAACATGTACATTAAATTAAAATTTGTTCTAATTAAATCAAGAAATGTATTTACATAAACCTCCTTATCAAGATTAAAACTTAAAACATAAAATAGGTTTAAAGCAGCGGTTCCCAAACTTTTTTGAACGCGGTGCCCTTTTAGGGGCAACATGTTAACCACGGTGCCCTGCTGTATATAACATGAAAGATAGAACAAAAAAAGTACTCATTGAGAACCAATGAAACGTAGACCACGGTGCCCCTAGAAAGTGCTGGCGGTGCCCCTAGGGCACCGCGGTGCACAGTTTGGGAACCGCTGGTTTAAAGTATTATATACTTAGTTTTAAAAGAAATAAAAATATTGAATTTTTCTTCATCAGTAAATATAGTGTTAGTAATATATAATATACTTAATAATTAATTACTTTTACGTCACTACTCACTAATGAGCAAAATTACAAGACAAAAACCAAATATTATTTAATTCTCCCAATTTTATTTTAGTAAATTATTACAATTAGCAGCTATTTAGACAAAAATTAAATCTTGTCTTATAAATAGATCAGTTAATGAAATTAACATATTTTGTATTTTCTAAAACAGTTACTTTCACCATTACAAAAACGTAATATTTAATCTAGGTCAATTGTTACAAATCGATGTTTAGAAATAGCGGACAATTGGACTTAAATACAAAAAATTGAACAATTCTTACCCATAATTTAGTATGATTAGTATGTGGCTTTATGTTAAATTTTTCTTTTTAATTCCACTAAGGTCAATTTGTAAGGAATCTTATACTTAATTTTCAAGCTATAGGTATTAAAATTAAATATTTTTATTTTCATGCATTTTAATATTAAAATTGTATTTGGATGTTTTAATATTTTCTTTAGATCTCACACGCATTTTTTCCAATTTATTTATTTTGAAAAATATAATAAATTATTAACTATACAAAATAATTAATTTTTTAGAATCAAATTTGTTTAAAAGTTGTTATTGGGATCTAAATAAAATAAAATAAAGAGACCAAACTTGTTTTTAAAATCTAAAAAATGCGGACATTGATCAGTATTCAATACGATTCAAATAAAATAGGGCTTTTAGAATGAAAAACAGTTTGTTTCAAATCCTTTAAACAGTATTTATTTTTTTTTTAAATACCATATTTTTCAGGTGACAATTAACCAAATACCCACTATTACAATAACTAATGCAAGTCAAAATTCTACATAGATATTTTAAACCAAGACGTAATTAAGGTAATGAGACTGTATAATTGTTATTTGTTAGAATCGACATTTTAGGTACCCAATAAGTTGAAAACAGATTAATTTTTATTTCTTGTGACCAATTTAAAAAAATCTAAGTATATTGGTGATTATCAAAATTTTTATTTCAAAAATTAAAGTTTTTTTTCTCATATTCATTTTAAAGTGAAATCAATAAATATATGTATATACTCGTATACATATGTACATCTATACATAAATAAAAAACATGTCAATTAAAAAATATAAATTAAAAAAAATAATAAAAATGCATGCAGGTATAAAGTAAAATACAAAAACATTTTTTTCATATCCTTATAACTATTTTGTCTTTTTAAATGCACATAAATTCTCGATTAAAAATTAATTCCATCACAGATATACTAACCTTGTGGTTTTGGGTAGAAACATTTTCACCAAGTAAAACAATAAAGAGGCAAAATCCTAGAAATATAAATTTCATCTTGATTCTTTAAACTTTGATTACTGTCGTGATTTTAAAACATTGAAGTGAACTGTAAGTTGCAACTCAAATAATCAAGCCAAGTAAATGCGTATTACGTCTTATATAGAATTAATAATTACTAATTAAATACTTTGTTGTTGTGACTTGTGGATAACTTATAAGATAATACCTGATATGACTATATTATGTCTATATACAGTACTCATTGTCCGTGTATGAACATTGAACGGTCGATATAAAAAAAAGATCAACTATTGATAACACGAATAAAACAATAACAATACTATTATTATATATTCTTGATTGCAACTGGGAATAGAGTTGTTATACACAGAGACAATAATAATAATTTTTATTTATTTCAGGGTTTATACTTCATACAGTTTACAAGAAACTGGTAACAATTAGTAGGGATAGGTTATACATTGGCACCCCTATTTTTCTTTGTTTTTTGGTTATAAAGTACAAACGCACTATAATGAATATGGGGCACTCAGGGGGCAAAATTTAAATTGTCGGAGGATATGAGGGGAATGTCCCTCTTTTTTTTGAAAAAGAAATATTTCAGTGTACCCATTCTAATTATATTCTAACAAAATAATCTTCAGTATAAAGTTTACATCTTTTTTTACCCTATTAATTGTTTTCCAATTAAAGTACCTATGCGGCTATGCGTAAAAGTTAATATATAATGTACATAATATCTATGTATGAATGCATTTAAATCATTTAATGTGTATAATATAATATATATACTCGTATAATACATGAACGATTGACCTATTATCTATAGTTGACGTTAGGTCACAGTTGATATTTAATATTTTAATATACAAACTATATAATAAAGTTAATGATTTATAGGTTTATATTTGGGTTAGATTAAATGTAGATTTAAATTTTTTATAAAATATATTGATATTGCTTTAAATATTTTTTAACATTATATAATTTTTTAAATATTCATTCTTTTTGGTCCATTTATAAACATTTAAAATGCAAAACTTTTTTTATTTAATTTATGTATAATCAATTTTTATTTATTTATTTTTGAGAAAAAAACTTACAGTAATTATAAAATATTGAAAATACTTTTTATAAGAAATTAAAGTAGACATTTTTGCAGAATTTATAAATATTACGAAATTTATTGAAATTCATAATATTTTTAATTTTAACATTTCTGAACTAAAAATTTGATATAAGATTCCTCATAAGTTACATCTACTAATAGTAGTAGACATTTACAAAAATTGAAAGTACCTATAAGCAAAATTATTATATAATCATTTGTTTGAAGTCCTTGTCTATTAGAAATAAATAGCCACGAAAAAATTTTGGAAACTTATCGATATTAAAAAAATTATTCTGATTATTAGGTATACATTTATGTCCCGTATGCAGAGTCAGGTTGGTTCAGCGAGTTACCGAATAAAACTGTGGACTGCTCAAAATTTGAACCGATAATGATAGTGTTAGGCCGTAATTTTTTTTTTTATAAAATAATGATAAATTAGTACAAAGAAATAAAATATAATTGAATCAAATTATTAAGCCGTATGGTAGCTGTAATAATTGTATGTAATCAAACGTTAGAAATCTATTGAGTTGGTGGATCCGAGGTCGATACCTTGCCAATCTAGCACTGCCAGTACCTATGTAGTAAAAATTATTTACCAATATCTTTAAATTACTATTTACAGAACCTGAGAGGGTGTAAAAGATTTTTAGAGCCTAAGCTTTTTAAACACTTAATCACAATTCACAATTCCTATTTATTCCTTAAATGTGTATTTACTTTACACATTACACTATGATATTTGTGACAATTGATACTTTTTATAGCCATTGATTACAAATAGTTACGACTTAAAACTCATAACTGTATTTTTATAGGTAGTATAAAAACCAATTAACAATCATTGATAGCGCTATAGGATTTTATACCTATGGAAATGCTTATGTGCTAGTTTAATACGAATCTTCGGCATTCTATTAGGTCAAAGTAATCAAACTGTCCTCATCTGTATATAACACCATCTAATTACAACTTTTGAGTACCCATTGGCTATGTTTATCCATAAGTTACCTATAACCATATGATCAATGCTATAACTTACTAATTACTATAGATTATTACAATATAGAATCTTAAGTTGTGAGTCCAGGGGATTTAATTTCCTGAGAATAGTTGGTTTGTGAATTCTATGGCTATATATTTCATGCATAAGCATACACAGACTTTAATCGCTGATGCAAAGCACAGAATTTTTTTTTTTTTTTTTAAGCACAGAATAAAGCTCATTTTTTACAATTGGTATTGACTGTGAAGCACAGGTAGACTGAGTTATTGTATTACTACAGTTTGTAATATTTACTAGGAACCTATTTGTTGTGGCTTAGGTTCAATTATTCAGTGTCAATTATCTAATGAAAAAATTGGCACTACCATGGATCACAGGTATCAGCTTTAAACATTTTGCAGATATAGCACATGTAACATAAGATCATGGGTATATATTTATCTTAATTCTTAAAGTTTAATCATTTACCTCTAAAAAAGAAAAAAATGTAAATGTAAAATACAAAATAATTTAATCATTTTTCAATTTATTGGTCAAATATTCTTAAAACAGAAATTAAAAAAAAAATTGACCATAACTTATATTTTATTTGAATCAAATAAAAATTATATTTAATAAACTTTTACATTCACTAATTTTTAACTTATTATAAGCATACTTCATTAATACTTTCAGTTTTAAAATATAATTTATCTATTATCTATACACTATAATATAAAAATATGTTAAATATAATAATAATTCAATGAAAAGTATTAATAATTTACAAATTGTTGATTAGTACAGAATAAATTTGTAAATATGTTATTCATAGTGATGCTAGGAGCAGTTACTATTTCAAATATTTATTCAGCACATATTGGATATTTATTTCTTATTATCATAGAGAATATTTATTTATCTTTTTTTGTACATAATATATTAAGACTCAATTATTATATTATTAAACAATAAAAGCAATTTTAAAAATATAAACAATTTAAGTAGGAAAGCTGCTTAAAATTAAATACCATACTAGGAATAATATTTTATATCTTTGGTGATGTTACATTGGATCCCAAAACCCTGGTGGTGTTAGAGCATGATTTTGATGTTTAACAGAACGATGTCTTGAAAAGTGATTCATGGCATTTTTTGCATCTACAGGATTATCATTGTTTTCTTCATAAAATTTGCAGCAGTCTTTACAATCCCAACCATTTAATAATTTTCGTTCATTATGTTTTCTAACAGGATCTTCTTTAAATTTATAATTTGGTAAATCACTTTTTTTATCATTTAAACCTGGAATAATATCAAAACTATCTAATAAATCACTATTAGAAATTTTGCTTTGTTTTTTAAGTGTTGTTACATTATTTAAAATACTCATTGATATATTGATTGGGCTACAATTGGTTTCATCATTTGATAGATCAGAATTTTCAGTTTGATCATGTGAAATACTAGTTTCTTTTAATTTTGAAGTATTTGTTTTTACTAATGGTAATACATTTTTATCAGAATTCATTGTTCTATTTAGAGTACTTGAAAATGTATTCTCCAAATCATTTAGTTGTGTATTATGAATATTTGTTTCATATATATCTTTAGTTGCATTATTTTTCAAATGTAACATCTCAGGACTAAGCAAACTAGAAGAATTGAATGCAGATATTTTAGGTCTTGGAGTACTGAAAGTAGTAATATCCATTTTAATCTTTTCTTTTCTTGGTTGAAGCATTAATGTTGTTTGTTTAGATTTTTTTAATAAATCAGAAGGATTTCCATCACGCTTAACTTGTAATTTCCAAACGTTATTCAATTCATCTTGAGATTTTATTTTGTTTTCTTTTTCATATTTTTCACACATTAAATTTTTCTTAGTAATTTCATTTAATTCAGTTTTATCTTTCAGAGATAATTTTAGAGGCGAGTATGATGAATATAATTTTCTTTTTTTAGCATATTCAGTATTTTTGTTTGAAAGCGATAAAATCCATTGAGTCAATATATCAACAGCAGACAAATCTTGGTTAGTTGTGAAATTTAATAAACTTGCTAATGTTTTAACTTGTTCATTCATTTGTTCTAATCTAATTTTTAATTTAGAACAATCACATTGCAAATCATTAGTATCAATTTTTGCTACATTATTCATTGTTATTGTTTTGATAAATGTACACACATTTTGGCAAACATCTGTTAACATTTTTACATGAACCTCACCATCATTTTGAATATTCATTTTTTAAACAAAATTTTAAGTTAAATGTATGATACTTAACAATATAGTTACCCGGTATTAATTGGCATAAAATGTAATGTTAATATTGAACTAGAGACTGTATAGATCGTGAAAAATGTATTAAATAGATAACATTCGAATGAAAATATATATTATTTATTTAAGTCAAATCTATAATAATTATAGTGTACAGTATACAATAAAACGTTATATAAACATTATTATTTATTATTATTTATATTACATATTATTAAGTAATATATACACCTAAATTATCACATAATAATAATTTAATATCAAAAACTGTTAACAAAATACTTTATCACTTTTTCAGATTATCCAACAGTAATTAAAATGTTAATTAGTCTTATAATTTGTTAAAAACCTAAAATCACTTATTAAATAAATGTTCATTTAAAACTCAGTGTATCGAAATTTATCAAAATTATTAACAAGCGTTATTTAAATGCAACTTAATTTAATTTATGATTTATACACTTGTGTAATGTTGGTTAACATGAAAATAGATAGACGAACGTTGTTTGTAGTTGGGCAAAAATTTCTGTTTATTATTTTTTCGCACTGGATTTTTTTAGTTTAGAATTTTAGACTGATTGCCGTGGAATAAGTTTGTTAGATGTGATATAATTTTCAACGATTTAATACTAAAAATAAGGTTGTTACAAAACATATTTCTGTTGTATGTTTAATGGCTTTTGATGGAGATGGCGGACGATATTCAGGCAAGTTTTAATCGGCCAACATGGTTACGTTTTTATTGTTATTTTATAAATTAATACAATTATTATTAGGACTATAGTCATTTATTTATATTTTTGTAAACCTAATGATAATCACTCAATATTTTATTTATTTATATTATTGTTAAGTAAAAGATTGTGATCGTTTCCCTTTTATCTTATCTACATTATTTACATATAGCTTTTTATATGAATACTCAACAGTATTGAAAGCAATTATTTACATAAATTATTTAAGAATGTACTACAGAAAATGTGTATAGTTAATTTTAAAAAATTTGGTATACATTTAATGCAAGTAATGTTTGGACCATTTTTAATATATTAAATAGCAATTGTAATTAGTAGTTATATGGTACATTAGTTTATTATAATTATTGATATTGACTAATTAGTATAACAATTTTATTTTAATTTATAAAAAAAAAAAAACATTTTCTTATATGTATTTGCATACCTATCTTGATTTTAGTATATTTCATATGATATACTAAAACTATTATATTTAAGCATTTACTATTATGTACATTTATTAAAACAGATATAATTTCGGATAGTTTTGATTACTTACTAAAACAACTAAATTTTATGTTTGTTTTTTTTTCTTACTTAATATAATATTGATTTAGTATAAGTAAGTATGCATTTTTTCTGTTAGATATATAATTGATCCTTTGTTAATGAGTGGTACTAGTATAATAATCCAACACAAACATATTAAACAAACTTATTCAAAATATTGTATTTGGGTAGGTCTACACATAGTAAAATCACTAGTCCTGATGTAGTATACTTGTAATCCTTTCTTCACAAATTTAAAATCATAAAAATCACAAAAACATCTATCATTATCAAAACTTTATAACTTTATTAAACTTATTACATTGGCAACATTTAAATTTATTGATTTGAAAAGACAAGAATAGTTGAATTAAAAAGACATGTTGATTTGTTACCCTATTTGAAAATGAATTAAATTATTATGTTTTTTCAAATGTTGCAGTATTGAAGTAATATCAAACTTTTTTAAATGTGACAGTAACTTCTTAGTATTTTAAAATAAAAAATAATTTATTGAAAAAAAAATATCTATAAAAATATTATATCTTATTAGCTATTTAATATTTTTACAGTATTCTTTAGCTAGAATTTAAATATTTATCATAAATTAAAATTTTTATTTTTGTACAATACAAACATTTATTGTTAAATTATTACTTAAATATTTTTATCTACCTACAGATTATTTTTATTCAGTACTATTTTTGATAATACTTTTTTACTTTTTAATCGTATTATGTTAAATATATTAATTTGGTTAATCATTAAATATCAAGTATACAAATTTTTTTTAAATAATAAATTACATATTTTTTAGAGTATTCCACGTTTGGAGATGCTATGCAAGCAAATGTACGAATCAAGGGATGCTACTCTCTGTGTAGAAGCCGAAAAAGCTTTGGTTTCATTTCAAAATAGTAATACTCCAAACACATTATCCAAGTGTCAATTGCTATTGGAACGAGCTGACTCTCATTATTCACAACTATTAGCTACTACAACTATAACTAAGCTCTTATCACGCACTCCATTAACCTTAAACCTTGATCAAAGAATACAGATCAGTAAGTTTTTTTAATTCAAACTATTTTTATATTTAAAAATGTTTACTATTTTATGTTATAGTTATTAATATAATTTTATTTTAGGAAATTATATTTTGAATTATTTGGCTACACGTCCTAAATTGCCATCATTTGTAGTCCAAGCACTTGTATTATTATTTGCAAAGATTACTAAACAAGGATGGTTTGATGGAGAAAAAGATTCCTATGCATTTAGAAATGTCGTGTCTGATATTTCAGTTTTTTTACAAGTAATTAAATGTTGAGACTTATAATTTTAGGTTACATGTTTTGTTTTACTAGGTACTTCTTAAAAATCATATTCTTATGGCAATAGTGGCAAAAATTTAAATAATTGGAAAACAAAACAATTGATAATCTTTGAAGTTTGAAAATATTTAGTTAAATACTTAGTCATATTTATTAGATATTAGGAAATCTAGTAGTCTAGTATGCTTTACAGGCATTTAAAAGTTTTAACTTTATATTAATGTTAATGCATTATTGTTGTGCTGCTAGTCTGTCTGCTACTAATAGTCAGTTTATTAAAGACTAGTTTTTCTCAAAATCTTAAATAAATACTTTTAACGTTTAATATTATATTTTAATTATTATTTACTTTTATCAGTTCTTTATTAAATAGTTTTATTATTAGTACTATTTTTCTTTGTTGAATTAAGGTTTTTTTTTTGTTATTAAATTCTATATTTCTTTAGATATTAAAGCATTAATGTTTTAGGGAACAAATGTTGAACATTGTATGATTGGTGTACAACTATTATCTCAGTTAACAACTGAAATGAACACTGTAGCTGATGTAGAATCTCACAGAGCTGTTTTAAAACATCGTAAAGTTGCATCATCATTCAGAGATACACAATTATTTGAAATTTTTCGAATGTCATGTCAAATGTTACGGGGTGCAAATAATAATCGAAAAAATTTAAATTTTACTGATGAAACTCAAGTAAATGTTTGGTTTATCAATATTATACTTATAATTTATATACAATTTGAATGTATACATTTTGTCTGTCTTAGCATGGATTCATGTCTCGATGTCTGCAATTAGCTCAGAATTGCTTAACCTATGATTTTATTGGTACAACTTGTGATGAATCAGCTGATGATATTTGTACTGTTCAAATACCTACAGGTTGGCGACCAGCATTCCTCGAACAATCTACTTTAACACTTTTTTTCGATCTCTATCATTCCCTGCCACCTAGTTTGTCAAGTCTTGTAAGAATATTTTTAAAAAAATTGCAAACCTTGTTTTATAATAAAATTAATTTTATTAATAATTGTTTAGGCTCTATCGTGCTTGGTGCAACTAGCTTCAGTTCGACGTTCCTTATTTAGTACTACTGAAAGAGCTAAATTTTTATCTCATTTAGTAAATGGTGTAAAAGATATTCTACTTAATCCTCAGGTAATAAGTTTTTGACTGAATATAAATCTAATCTTGATATTTGAACAAATTTTTGATTTACAACTTAAATAATTTAATGTTACATAAATTATTGTAGTTCCTAGTATTAAAATAATTTTTAAAATATTATATTGTTAATAAAACACAATTTATTTTTATTTTTAGGGTTTAGCTGATTCAAATAATTACCATGAGTTTTGCCGTTTATTAGCAAGACTGAAATCAAATTATCAACTTGGAGAACTTGTGATGGTTGACAGTTATCAAGAAACTGTTGGTCTCATTGCTAAATTCACTGTTGAGAGTCTACAGGTAAAAATGTACACCAAATTTATAAAGTTTATTTTATATTTAAGAATAAGTTTCAAAATGAAATGCATTTTTCGTTATTGAATATTGCACATAAATCTTAGCCTCAATTATAATAATAATATAAGTATGAAATGTTTAAATCTTTTTTAGATAGCATACAATTTATAAATAAAATTAGGTTTAAGTTGTAATAAATATATTATTTTAAATTTATTTTTTATAGTTTTTTTTATAAATTTTACTAATGTTTTTCTAGTATATAAATCTATTTAATACATATTAATATATGTTTTTTAGGATTCATTATCTTGACAAAAATTTTAGAAAACTATGCATATTAATATATTATTTATTATATATATCTTAAATTTTTGTGATGTAATTAAAATTATAATAAAGAAAAATCTGTATTTATTTAGGTCTACCAATGTGCTCCAAACTCTTTTCATTATTTATTAAGTTTTTGGCAACGAATGGTAGCATCTGTACCTTATGTCAAAGCTGCAGAACCTCATTTATTGGAAACTTACACTCCAGAAGTTACCAAGGCATATATATCATCCAGAATAGAAAGTGTTACACTTATTGTAAGAGATGGATTGGATGATCCATTAGACGATTTCACTAATGTTCAACAACAGCTTGAACAGTTATCTGTGATTGGCAGATGTCATTATCAAAAGACATGCTCATTAATTGCTCAGTTATTTGATCAATCGGCTACTAATTATCAAGAAATTATTGCTTCGGCTTCTGCTTCTATTTATGATCTAAAGATTCAAGAAGGTAGATCAAACACATTATTTTATAAATTTTATTTGAATTATATTTAAGTCTTATTTATTCATTATTGATAAGACATAAAATTATTCAAATTATGGATACAATATAGTATATACTTATATGACTATTATGAGGATGTAGCTACAAACAGTTTGTAAATACCCCTTAAATCATATTTCGTGTAATTGGAAATATTAAACTATTAATGGGCCATGGTTTAATTCTAATTTATTTAAAATACTACTTCCTCATGAATTTTCTTCATCTTACAAACATACTGTATTCTAAATTTTGTGTTAAGTTTGATATTAGAATTAGAATACATTGACCAATTATCATGCTTAAAGGTGAGAATATTATTTTTGTTTGAATGTCTATTTTCTATGATATTTATATTTTAAGTCGCTCGTGATAATTTACTTGACATTTATAACTTACTCATAAATTGAAATATTTTAAAATTGTTATTTTTAAACATAGTTAATAATTCTTCTTACCTTTAAAAAGTCAACTTATTTTAATATTAAAACTAATACTAGAAAATGATTTTACCAAACATAATTTCTCTATGTTGTATTTTTGTAAATTAGAATCAATATGGGTGGATGATTCCTTTTAAAAATATATAATCAATTTATTGATAATATTGACCAAATATGTGAAATTTAGGTGTATATTTGTAATTTATAGTTATGTTATTTTATATTAGTGTATAATCTAAGATATGCTAATCTTCTCTGTATCGTTCCAATTTTAGTATTTGTACTGCCGAAGCAAGTACATTAGTGTATAATTATTGGCTATCTATTATTTTGTACAACATTCTTTTGATATCTTAAAAAATATTATTAGATATTAATTGAGTATTTTATTCAAATGTCTCCTAACACACTTGTTTCTTGCTATTCATTTTTGTAATCTGGACTGACATTTGAAGCTATTTGTTATCATAGATGTTATAGTAGGTGTATTTAATGAAAATTGTCATGTAACATCTTATCAATATTTTATATTATTATGGTTTGGTTTGTTGTGCTGTTATTAATGTTTTAATTTAAAAATAAATTCTAATTTAGGTCGTTTAACTTGGTTGGTATACTTGATTGGAGCAGCAATTGGTGGTCGAGTAACATTTAATAGTAATGACGATGGAGATGCAATGGATGGAGAAATGGCTTGTAAAGTTTTACAACTAATGACTTTTAGTGATTCAAGGCTGCCACAAGGAGGTTATGAAAAATTAGAACATTCATTTTTATTTTTCTTTGAACAATTTCGAAAAATCTATATTGGTGATCAAGTAAGAAAAATAAATTATATGGATTATTAAAACTTGTTTTGGCCATATAATTCAAAATGGTTATTATATTTATTTACATTTTAATGTTTTAAATGATTTAAAACTATGAATTACATTTATATAGGTACCTAAGAATTCAAAAGTTTATCGCCGATTACATGATGTCCTTGGCATTAGTGAAGAGCACATGGTTCTAAGTATTTTTATGAGGAAAATGTAAATTATATAAATTTAAATTTAATAGTGTTCAGCAAAATGTTATTTAATTTATTTATTTTTCAGTATAACAAATTTAAAATTTTGGTGCTCCAGTAATACAGTAATTCAAAAAACATTAGCTTTATTGAATGATCTTTCAGTTGGTTTTTCTAGTGTTAGAAAATTAGTAAAACTTGATGAAATTCAGTTCCTATTAAACAATCATACAGTAATTTAAAATTATTTACATGTTTTTTTAAACTAAAAATATATTGATAAATTAATAATTATTTTTAATAGAGTGAACATTTTCCGTTATTGGGTAACACATTTAGTGTTAAAGATATGAGACATCGATCATCATTTTATACTTCATTAGGTAGATTACTTATGATTGATTTATTAGAAGATGAAGATAAATTTGATAATTTTATGATACCTCTAACAGGTAAATCTATTCAATAAATAAAATTCATATTGTATATATATTGAACTATTGTTATTATTTTTTGTACTTAGCATCTGTTGAGTCAATAGGGGCTTTATTAGCTACAGTTAATGGTGTAAATGATACATCAGTGTATTCAAATATTGAAGCAAAAAAAGCCCTGATTGGCCTTATTAGAGACCTTAGAGGCTTAGCTTTTTCATTCAATACTAAGACATCATTTATGTTATTGTTTGAATGGTTATATCCTTCATATACACCAATTTTACTACGCGCAATGGAACTATGGTATGCTGATCCTGAGATTACTACTCCATTATTAAAACTCTATGCAGAATTAGCTTTGAATCGTTCACAAAGACTTCAAGTTGATGTGTCATCTCCAAATGGAATATTATTATTCCGTGAAGCTAGTAAAGTTGTTTGTACTTATGGTAAGAATTTATCTAACTTTTATTTTTGTAAATAAAGTAAACATAAATATTTTTTACAGGAAATAATATTTTAAATCTTGATGTTCAACAAGATATGTTATATAAAAAAAAGTTAAAAGGCATATCTATTTGTTTTTCAATGTTAAAAGCAGCATTATGTGGAAACTATGTTAACTTTGGTGTTTTTAAACTTTATGGAGATGACACTTTAGAAAATGCTCTTAATATATTTGTAAAATTATTACTGTCAATTCCTTTGAGTGATCTTTTGGTAAGTTGTATAATATTTGTATTAAAATTAAACTACAAATCTATTTCAAATTCAAATGTATTCTTACTGATTATGTTGTTGGGATGTATAGTTATAGATTAAATAACATAACCTATTTATTAACAATACTATTTCAAATTATCTCTTATGACATCATATTATGGTGGGGATAGGAAGATTTTTACTTAATTTTCTATTATATAGAGAACTGAGCAATTAATGGCCCTTGTACCTTTTAAAATTACTTCATAAAATTTTACTGATTACCTGTATTTTATTTTATTATGTTTTAACATGTTACAAATATAAATAAATACATTTTAAAATTTTTTACTTGAGGCCGCTAAATTTAAAAATACTATAAATTGGCTCTCTAATAACTTTAAATTGCATTTACTACATTAAATAATAAATCCAAAAATAAAGCTAGCTTTAACTATTTTTTCTTAATCATTATTTTGTATGTCTAAATATTTATGACTTATTTTTAGATTTCATAAATTTTCTTTATTATTAAAAATTAATAATAATAATAACATAAAATAAAATGAAAGAGCACAAATATATATATATATAAGGATATTCTTACAAGTATAAACAATCATTCTTTTTGTGTTTTTATTTTTAGAATTTTTAAAATTATTTCCTTTTACACAATTAAAGTAATGTTTTAACATTTTTTTACAAATTTAATTGTATTTATTTTTCTTAGTGTTTTATTGTTTGCATACATATTTGATTTCATTTCCAATTAGAATATTTTTACTGAAAATTCAAATATTTTAAAAACCTAAAAGCAAGTAGTTAAAGAGTTATTGTTTTAACACTATTTATTTTTAGCATTATCCTAAATTATCACAAACATACTATGGATTACTCGAGTGCCTTGCTCAAGATCATATGGAGTTTTTATCTACTTTAGAACCTCAAGTATTTCTGTATATACTTTCATCCATATCTGAAGGATTGAATGCATTAGGTGAGTCACTTATTATTTAATAATACGTCCCTATATTATGAAATAAATGTTTAAATTACATAAATGTTAACAATTGTTGAAGTCATAATGGATATTGAAAAATTGAAACAAATATGTTGGTGCTTTATGTACTTTGTGTATCATAAAATCAGCAAAATCTGTATAATTTATTTAATATTTTTTTTTTTTAACTTTTTAATGAATACCAATTAATTTAGTATTATGTATTTAACTTACATATTGATGTAAAAATTGACTGAAACTTTATTTAACAACTAGTTTTGATCATTAAGATATTAAACTTAATTGATAATATTAAAATATTATATTGAAAATAATAAATTATTCATGTAATCAAAATTAAAATATATAGCCTATATATGATGTATTTCTGGATTGAATTAAAAATGCAAAATTTAAAAACCTAATTTTCTCATTTAAAGAGCTTATAGCTAAGTTAATATAATACCTATTGTAAAAGAAAATTACTTAAGTTATCTGTATATTAGATAATTTTAACCAACTGAACATATTAAAAGGTTTAATAAATTTAGCGAAGAGATTAATCAACTAATATTTACTAAATTAAAGGCATCACAAATTCCAACAAAAGTAATGTCTAGGTATTCTCTATTATTGAAATATTAATTAATTCTTCCAATTAAATTGGTGAAATAGTAGTAGTTCCACGATCTTTTCTTTTTTAACTTAAAATTATTCATTAATTATAAAATCTATAGTCAATATACATGTTTATTGCCTGCCTATTATTAATTTTAACATTTTTCAGATATGTCTATATGCACAGGATGTTGTACTACTCTTGATCATATTGTTACTTATGTATTTAAACAACTATTATTAAAAGGTAAATTATTAACTAAATTAGTAAAAATAAAAATATATAAAAACCTTAAAAAACAAATTATTGTAAATTACTCAAACTAATATTTTTATTAACTTAGGTAAAAAAGTTAGACGCCGCATGCAACAAGTAAATGAAATTTTTTTACGTACCCTAGAAACACATTTAGGTGTATTTAGACAAATCTTACAGACTGTACTTAACATAATCATATTTGAAGAATGCAGAAATCAATGGTCAATGTCCAGACCACTTCTTGGGCTTATACTACTTAATGAAGAGGTATTATTGATTATTTTTACTTAATAAATAAAAGCTCATCTATATAATATCTCATAATTTTGTTTAGTATTTTAATCAACTAAGAGATATTATTCTACAAAGCCAACCAATTGATAAACAATCAGCAATGGCTCAGTGGTTTGAAATGTTGATGGAAGGAGTAGAAAGAAATTTAGCAAGCAGGAATAGAGAAAGGTATATTAACTTAACAAAGTATTCAATTCTTCATTTTAAACTTATATATTTTTAATAGGTTCACTCAAAATTTATCTTCATTCAAAAAAGAATTAACTGAAAAAGGATCAGCAATATCTATGAATTCTGTTAATAATGAAGTTATGATAACCACATAACATGTTGGGTTGCTTAAAATTTGTAATTTGATTTCTTAATTAATGTCTTTAATTCTAATATTAATATTTCAAGAAACATTTATGGTTATTTATTTATTATTGTTTGAGCCATGTAAATAACAACAAAAAAAAAAAAAAAAAAAAAACTTAATCTTTGTAAACAATTTTAATTAGAATATAGAGCCTACCTCCTAGTCATAGGCTATTACTGGATATTATTTTAAACATTTAATGATTATTAAATGCATTAATTATTATGTATGATACATAAGCGTGATTAAGATATCTGCAGTTTTTAAACTATGTGTAAATATATTTTATTATTTTTTAATGAACAAAAATAGTGTTAGATAATTTGTATATGTCTTTAAGCCTGATATTAATAATTAGTAATGAATTTAAGGAGCAAATGTTAATGCCCTGAAAATTTTCATAACTGATCTACAATTTTAAAAACAAAATTGTAATATGCTGTCATAAATATAAAATAAGCTAAATGCATTTAATTAAGCTCCATCAATCTGTTTAAAAAATTAAATATTAATTTATTTAATCAAATTAAAAACATTTTTATCATCATAGTTTACTTATGTAAAAACTATGATAATAAAATAAACATAGTAAATATATTGAGCACATAATTTTTTGCACTTTAAATATTTAAAAACTCTCAAGGTATAAAATAGAAACATATTGAAAGCTATGAAAGCGCATATACATAAAAATTCAATAAATTTTAGACCATGTTAATAGTATAATATCAACATTTTTTAAATTTAATCCATTTGAATTTTGACTTAAATAGTTACTACTTTATCTACTTAATCTACTTATCTAATTTAATAGTGATACAACTTAATCTATATTCTATTCAGCCAGAGGATAAGCTGTGACTTGTCAAAAATAAGATCTTCCGTGTATCCCCATGGAATATTCTGTCTCTGAAATCAATTCCGTTAATGACTGCAATGTCATGAGTAGATGCATAGAATTAGCATGTTCTCTCACTTAACTAAATAGAATAAATAATTTGATTTTCTTATTATACTTAAGAAAATAAGTTAAACACCTATTTTTTAAAAAGTTAGAAATACACATATATTTATAATGATAACCCATATTTACTTAAGTGGTTGATTTTAATATTGATAAATTCTTATTATATATCAACTATTAATAAAAAGAAATTTTAAAATTTTAAGGCACTATAACAGTCACAACATCAGAATAAGATAATATATACTAGTCTGGTTACAACTTTATGAATACATTTAGGTAAAATAAAAAATATACTTGAATATTGGTTTTAGACATAAAAAGTATGTGTCTCAATGTAAATTAGTTATGCTATCACAACATCAATTTCATTAAATATATAATAATTAGGTTGGTACAAAATAAAATATATCACTTGTTTCAATGAATTAGTAAGTACAATAAAACCTATAACTCAATTATAATAAAAATAATAGAAGCTTTATTTCGACCATATCCTATTTTAGTCATAATAGTAATTACATTATTAAATATTAATTTAACAATCACAGAATGTAGTAAAACCTTAATGATATTTTAATATATTCATAGTATCATTAACTAATTAACCATAGTAGTGGTATAAAAAAACAATGTAAAATAACTTGCACAATATTATAAAATTAAATTTGAATACTTAATAATTAAACTTTAGTTTCTGTATGTTGCGATAGTGCAACTTCACGTAGATTATCATTTGTTACATCAATAATACGTGGTCCTGGTCCATAACGATTATATTCATTCGTTTCAATATATTGAGATTGCATATGTCTTCTATCCATTTCAAACAATAATGCAGATCTAAAAAAAAAAATTGTTCATATAAGAATATTTGTTATATTATGGTAAAATAAAACTTTTAGAATAAAAATATTTAATCAATTACAAAATAATCATTAAATGAATAAAAAAAGACAATCACTATTTATTAACCATTAAATAAAGATGCAATGGACAAGTAAACATTATTTGGGCCAATGAAACATTAACATAAATATTATTAATTATTTGTTTTTATTTAATTTCAATGAATATGGTTCATATAAGTAAGACTTCAGTAGCCTTAAATCAGTGAATCTTGAGTTTTAAACTTAATTTTGAGCCACAAATCACAATATACTTTGAATAATTTAAAAAAAATATATATAGTAAAAATGTATTTTATCAAATTATAAATTATAAGTATTTCAAGTTAAAAACATATAAAATCATATTAATTAACTTTGAAAAAAAAAATGGTCTCTAAATTAAATAGTCTAATAAAGATAAAATGTACTAATATTTTTAATAAAATTAAAAGCTAAACAAATGACAAAAATCTGAGTCATCCATCTCAATATAAGATAAGAGTAATAATATAAATTCAAAAACAAAATAAAACCACCAATTAATTTTAAAAGTTTTTTAATTTTTATGAAAATTATTTACTTAAAGGCACCATATATCCATAACATAATTTGGTAAAAATTTGTTTGTTTTTCAAACCACTTAGAAAATATTATTAGTTGAAAAAATAAAATTTCACCATAACAGAATAAAACTTAAAAACATTACTTTTTTTACCTAGTAAAAATCAAATTTAGGCATACACGCATAAGTTTTCTACATAATTTTTTAATAACACAAAAACTAAAACTATATTGAGATAGGACATTAAGACCTCAAATATTAGTAAATATTGTTATATTTTATGGTATCCAAATATATTTTTGATACTTATGTGATATACATATACAAGGTGTATTTAGTGGTCATGAGTTTTGAACTCTACTAAAAAAACGACAGAATGAGTACAATTTTAATCACACAAGTACACAACAAAAAGGTCTTTGGAGTCACCAAAAATAGTATAAAGTTAGTATTGTTCCATTATCAAAACAATATAAATTATAATGATTATTAATTTCAGAGAACTGAAATAGTTATATTAGATAAGTATAATATCTAACTTCACTTAAACTAAGAAAATTAGATCTAAAACTAATAATACTAATAGTAACAAACCTATAAACTTCATAACGCATAACAATCTCTTCCAATTCTTGTTTATATAAACGAGTCAACATAGCATTGAAACAGTCAAGTTCTGGTAGCCTAAACATTTCCCATCTAAGTTTATGATCTAATGTTTGTGCTGCATGAGAATAAACATTGAGCCATACAGGGATTTCTTAAAGAAAAAACAAATAGTTAACTTAAAACATATAACATAACAACATTTAAAATTATTTTTACCTTGATTTAGATAAGGATTAGCAGGTACCAGCATATTATGAGGATGAAAATGTGTAGGTCTTGGTGGCGGGGGAGGTAAAAGTGGCAATGGAATTCTCACTTCTGGTTGATAAATATAGTGTGGAGCACATGGATGCTCATATTGTGCTTGTCGAGAAATGTGACTGAAAAAAAAATCAAAACGCATAATAATATAACAAATAGATCTATATTAATTCATCAAATAAATTTTCTTAAATTAGAAAACAGATTTTATATTTTTATTTTTTATTCAAATAATGCTTTAATTAACACAATATGTTTGTAATGTACGAACTTAAATAAATCAAACCAAAGGCTTATTTTAATTAGTATCTACTATCTACGACCTACATACAACACCTCTCTATATATCAATGATGATACTATAAAAATAACCATTAATCTTGTTAATTTTATTAAATTATCTCATAAAAATAATATTTAAGCATAGAGTATATCTTATTTTTAACATTTTTATAACATAAATATTAAAATATTTTAATATTAATAAATTTAATTTTTTCAATTACAATTTTTATATTAATAATAAAAGCTTTGATTTTGTAAAATATGTTTAATAACTTAAACAAACATAATTTATGGTTGGTATCTATAACACCTTTTAACTGAACTGATTAAATATAAGTATTACAATTTTATTGTTTACTCACTTAACAAAATATACTCCATACTCATCACTTTCAATACGTTCCCATCCAGTAGGAAGACCTTCTTTTTCTAAAGGATGTGACCAGTGTGTAGTTTTTGTATTGTGGTCGATATAATACTTACGACCTCTTAATGTTAAGTCTACAGACCAACCTGGTGGTAAGGGAAGTTCTTCCCCTCCGCCTATACAAAAATAAGTTTAAATGCTATATCATTAATGAATCTCTATATGTTCTTATTTCAAACTTAAGGTAATTATGACAATTTTTGAATACAATCCGTCATATGCATAACTACTATAGATTTCATCTATAACTAAAATATATATATTCACCTGAAGGTAATGGTATTGGAACAGTCTGTCCAATATTATGTAAGGCTGGGGTGGAATGATGAGTATTAATAATTTCATTCTTGTGCTGTAATTGAATCTGTAAATGCAAAGCGAAGAGAAACATTTTTTACCTTATTAGTATGTAATAACGGTAAGTGGTAATTAAGATTTAAATATCCAAGATCAATAAATATGTTATAAATCAATTATGTTTACTTAAGTTATATATAATATCAAAATTAAGTTTAATACTGTAGGCTTTTAGATGATTAGGTAACATTATTATTTAAATTACAAAACCAAAAGTTTTGTATAATAATAATAAGATAATATTGAAAGTTTTTAAAGTAATTGATGAAAAAAAAAATCATCAATTAAATTTAGGTCGACTTTTTACAGTTAAAAGGTAATTTCAAAGTTTTTCATCAAATTAAACTTATAATATTTAAAAAAATACAGCTAATGACATGACACTAAATTATTTAAAATTATAAGGATTGAATAATATAGATATTTTTAAAATAATTAAATAGATTTCAAGGTATAATATAAACTTTAAATTTAAAAATAAATTTATTTATCCTTTCTTATAATAAATAAATAATTTAACAGTTATAATTTTCTTAAATTGAATTGTACATAAACATAAATAGATGGTTAGGAAGCTAAGTATTTTCAAAATTTAAAATAAATATAAATTTACCGTTGGGAAACATTGTGATAATGCTGGCGAGTAAATTGTATTGTCACCAAATCCATGTAAAATAACAGATGACTCTGCTAAATCAGAGTGTGAATGATAAGGCAAACAAGTGGCACTAGTATGTGTTCCTATCTAAATAAAAATTAAAATTAAATTATTTAAACATACATTAGAAACCAGTGCCATAATTTTACATTATTCTCCAACACAAATAAATCCATAATTATTGCACAAAAACAATAGCTTTCCTTGCAAAATGAAAATAGATATATTTATATATAAAATGCAAATACAAAACCTAGCATTCCACAAATAACATCACTGTAAAAAACTAACTGAAATACAAATAATAAAATTATAAACTTGCTTGATGATTAATGTGGCAGTCATTGGAAATATATCTATTGCTACAATTTCTAACATTTATTGATTGATCAGCAGCTATACCTGGTGAACTACTCCATAAATTAGCATTGGCAAATCTTCAAAAAATAAATTTATTAATATTTTGTAATAATTCATAAATTAATAATATATACTTTTGAGCTAAATCAGGAACAGAACTACTAGGAGTATACTTCCCTTCATGGCCAATTAGCATTGATGGAGATGGTGTATTTTTCACATTACCGAATTTTTGAACTGTACCACTTGGTTGGTTTGTATTCTAAAAAATATGTTAATAATATAGAGTTTAGCTTAAAATCCAATTTTTACTTACATTTGCATTTGGAGATTCTGAAACATTAGTCCGGCTGTGGTTATTTTTTCTGAAAGGTTCTGTAGTCCATACATTTATAACTGAAAATAAATGATTGAATTCATCAATAGGTATTCAAGATTAAAGTGAAATACTAAAATAAATACATTCTTAGAATAAAATACTTCAACAGTTTCTAAACTCTGAAGCATTTAATAGGGGAGGTGCAATGTAAATATTGCTATTATATACACTATAAGCGCCAATATTGTACTATAAACTGTAGTCTATAAGTACTAATATAGTACTAGATACTAATAAAAAATATTGTTTCATTTATTCAAGGGAGGTACTATTATTTATTTTTATTTTTTGGGATACATCATACATGAACTAAAAAAGTTTGGAAACTGCTATACTAAATATATAATATTATTCCTTGGTTTTATCTAAGTTACTATTGCTTATTGTATCAGTTTATTTTCTCAAGTATTCATATTCTTTATCAATTTCACATAATCAAAAACATCAACAGAAATTTTAATCGATTTTCAATTGATGGTTTTCATCTGACATGATCCAGACTTACACAGTAAAAAATATTTTCTAAGCATACCAAATAATAATAGTGCTTAATACTTTAATTTGTCATATATTACATGTACATGACAAGATAAACACTTGATTTACAAATATATTAATAAGTATGATTTGATAATTTAAAATATAGAAATAATTGAGAGAAATTTGTACCATACAACCAATTAAATAATACAAATTGATGTGACTAACAATAGACTAAGCTTTACAGAGTAAAATTACCCGGAATTAATGTATTATAAAACTAAATTTATAATGGAAGAATAAATCCTGGAATATTGAGAATTATTTCAATATTTCTAAAATTATTAAAAAATAATAAAGAATTCCAATAATATATTAAATATTAATACATTAAGTGTTTTTAAGTAATAAATATTATATTTTATGTTTTTCTTATTTTATTCTACAAACTTACTTGGTATTTCCGGTGGTTTGTCTTTTTTTACATATTTTCCAACCACTCCTTCTTTAATAGTTCTAGTATCTTTATTTTTTCTTGACAACATGTTAAATAGGTTAAATCTGTTTAAAGGGCTGTTTTTTTATAACTAAACAAAAACATTTGTTAAATATAATTTTTAAATTTTCATGATCTAAGTCATAGATTATAATTGTTTTTTATAAATTTATGTTTTATGAATTAAATAGGTTCCTACAGTGGTACAGAATAGTAACACTTAAAAAACTTAGGCATTTATATTATAGTGCAGAATATCTAACTTTTATATTAAAAATACTTAAAATGTGTAGCCATTAATTATTTTAATGGTTCATAAATATTAAGCAATTCAATTAAAATTTCATGTTTATATTAAATTATAGAATGTAAATAGTAAATACATGATGGTAATAGACAATAGTTGGTATTTGATAGATACTTAGTAAGATAATAAATAATAATTAATAATTATTAATTTTTAAAAAATAAAAACCTTATCATATAAAAATAACCTTAAATTATTAATAATATATTAGTCATTTATATCATTGTTCTGTGTTTATATCAATATCAATGACTTAAGTTTTCCTAAAAATCATAAAAATAATTTTAACTTTACATCGGATCCATTTTGTCATGTTAAATGAATAATTTAATTTAAATAAAAATTAACGATTAATGGTTGAATTTAAGACCAGTGAAACTATGTAGTATGTTGGCTGGCGGCTGCTGAATCCGAACAGTAAAATGATCAAAGAATTTTTAATTGTCAACAGTTATCTATTATTTATCAGTTATCACTTATCAGAACACGAGTTTAAATTTTAAGCCACAGTATACCAAAAAGTAGAAATCTTTTATTCTGTGTTTTAACTTAAAAAAAAATAAAACGTTAATACTAAATACTAGTAAATTGTAGAAATGTAATTTCTTCGGGTAGAATAAAATACTTGTAAGATAAAAATCAATAAGAGACAATAATTAAATAATAACACAACATTTCTATATGGATTTTTTTCAGAAATAATTTATATTATCGAAATTGCAATAATTCAATTTAATGATATTGCTAGCGAGATATATATTAACAAATAAGTTATTGAAATAATTTGAAGGTAGGTCATATTTTTTTTAATAATTTGAGAAACTATCCCTCTTTTTTGTGATAATATTTCTTTATGTAATAATAAATATATAATATATTTAGGTTTATATTGTTTGTAATTTATGTTTAAATAAGTTATTATATTTCAATATAGTTCAAACTTTCAATATTTATATTAACTTAAGTATATTATTTACTAAATTATGCAGTTTTATATTTTTGGTGTATAATATACTTATTGAAGTCAATAGGTTTAAAAAGTTTTGTAATTTCAAATTATTCGATTTTGTAGAATTTTTAATTTTCAAAAACTACTGAAAATTTGTAAAAACATTTCTTAGTGACAACTTATTGATCATTTAAAATTATCCAAATTTTAATGTAAAAAATTCTAAAATATAAATATAATCATAAAAGTATGAATTGATTTTGTATAGCAAGCTAAGGCTTAGATGGATGAGAAAACATTTATTAATGATCTTAATCTAAAAACTATCCTATTAATAGTCATTCCTTGTCCCTATTAATCAATATCCCATATAAAGATGTTAAAAAATCTAAATATTTTAATTAAATATAAGTAGTTACTTATTTGATAATAAATAGTTATCAATGAATATATTTGTAGTAATAATCTTATATAATATATATAATATATCTTTTTAAATTAATAAAATAAATAGGTATCAATATCATTGATGGATTATAAATATTATAATTTCAATAATAGATTATGGTTAAACCATTTATGAGTAATAAAAATAAATATTAGTACTTGGTTGTTATAAATGCATGTTTATGAAATAATCGTGACATAGTTTTTTTTTTTTTTTTAATTAAATGAACATCCTGTATTTAAATCAAGTGTAGTTATATTACCTATTTAATAATCAATTAGATTATAAGTTATAACTATGATATTTCATTTTATTGGGCGTGGCCCAATATTCATTTAACATTTAGTCAAATAATCATACATTTTTGTCTTTCATTACTAAAATTATTTAATTTGTATAAGCCATTTAAAATATATATATATATTTTTACATATATTATATTTAATAGATGGCTCAATCTTACAACACAGTTATCATCATAGGAGCAGGTGTAGCTGGAATTGCAGCTGCTACTAAATTACTAAAGAATAACTTCAAGAATTTTATCATATTGGAAGCAGAAAACCGTATTGGTGGTCGAATTCAAACTTTACCCTTTGGCGGTAATTATAATTAATTTGATTTAAAACTAAATGTGTTGCATAAAGAAAATTAAAATTTTATTTATTATAATTTAATATGCGTTTCAATAATTGTATTTTATAATTTTATTTATAAGTACTTAATAGGTATTCTAGTAAAACTTGTGTTGTCTGTTTGCACTTCTATCATAATCAAATTAAATTTTATTAAATTTGTATGTTTATGTAATTAATATTCATACTAAAACAAGATATGAAAATAGGAATCACTCTGCTTTATTAATACATTTTTGTATATGTTAAATAATTCTCAGCAGAGACTGTTTATTAGCTAATCTCACTAAGTATATTTCACAATTTAGTTTTTAATATATAAATTAGGTAGGTAATAAAATTGATTTTACTATTAGTAATACTGCATAAGTTGAATACATTTTTAGCCAAAACAATGTATTTTAGATTGCTTTTCTCAGTATGAACAACTCATGAGTAATTTTGTATTAAATTTTCAAGACATAGCTATAAAATTAAACATTTCAAAAATGTTTAGCTGCCAATATAATTGAAAATCTTGTGATTTTCATAAATTTTTCAAAATTTGAATTTCAAATGCTTATAAAGATAAATAATTATGCTTATGTATTTTAAATGTTTTTATTTATATGTAAGAACAACTTTTAAAGAGCCTTGTATTAAATTATCAATTATTTTTACCAAGCGTATAATTTTTATGTATATTTATAAAAAAAACTAAATTAAATTGAAATATTCAAGTATTTATAGATTACTCAAAAAGAACAAAAATATTTTAAAACTTTTATCAAGTATAAAAATAATAATTAATAAACATTTGATGAAAATTTCACGTATCTATGATTATTCATTATTTTATTACAACAAAATATCAAAAATTGTTCAAAGAGAAATAGTTGTTTACGGATAAATTTACAATGCCGTAAACTTTAAATGTTTAAAATAATTAATTTTACTTTCCGATAACATATTTAATTTTAATAACTTATGAAATCGGCAATTCATTTCGGAATCTGACTAGCCTGTTGAGGATATTACCATTGGTTATAGAATTAACTATTTTACAATAGTATAATCAATGGTATTACAGTCCGAAAGGTTCAACTTTCATTACAACTCCTCCAAACCCATATTTTTAATTATGTATGTTTAATTACGCAATCACTTATTATGAACAAAAAATCACCTTTGCTACTAAAACAACACGCGTTGCGCAATATGACAAACTCATTAAAACCACTACTTCAAATTTAACTGATAAAAATAATTAATATGAAACACAACAGTACGATATATCGACGATAACATCTTTGATAGGTCTACAACCAGTTTAAATAAACTAGCAAATAAAAAAAAATACCTCAATACCTTATCCACTTGTTATTTTCTCAAATCAAAACAAACAAAAAACACCACTTTTGTTTTAAAAAATAGATATTCCCCACTTTCTTTGTGCAATGATTCTTTTCCAATGGATATAATCACATCCTCACATTTTACCAAAGAAAAATCTACTATTCTTCTCTCCACTCAACGTCGCAACCACCACTAATCTTCACAAAAACTGAAATCAACTGTCTACTGTGAATCAATCAAATCATTAATCTTATCAGAAAAACTAATTAGCAGATTCTCCATAAATGGTTTAAGGTATCAATGTATCATTTATAGAATTGAGACTGACCAGAAAGTAATACAATTTTTAAAAGAAAAAAATGCTACCTTTCGTGCATTCCAAAACAGAAACATAGAAGAAAAATCATATTGAATGATTATTAGACATCTCCACCACTTCATTCCGATCTACTACTTTAAAAATGAACTAAAGCACTTAAGTTTTTTTAACAAGAAACATTATTAACGTTACACTTGGACAAACTAAAACACATATTTTTCCCTTAATTGTTAACCTTGATCCGCCCCAAACAATAAAGACATTTTATTTTTAATACTCTCTACTGCACAAAAATTAAAATTGAAGAATCTTAATCATTGGCAAATTTAAGGGAGGTGAGGGTCTTGCCCTCCCATTGACCCAAATGATGTTTTATTAATTCAATAATAGCAAGTATTTTAACTCCCCAAAATCATCACTGCATTTTGAATTATGCCCCCCTAGTTATATTAAATTCTGGATTTACCACTGATCCCAATCTAGAGACAATGTAATTCAATGCACGCAATGCCAATCTTATGGCCACACTTAAACTTATTGTAACCATTACCTAAGATATTTAAAATTTGAGAAAATCACCTATCAAACGAATTCTGAAAAAACAAAAACTCTCATGATAAGAGTGCATAATGCAGCGAACATCACACAACTAACTATAGAAGTTACAAAGTTGAAAGTACACAAGGTCTTACAAAAATTTAATAGAACCTTAAAAATTGCCTTACAAGATTCAAATCCTGACCACTCCGCAGTTGCAGATTTTACAGGGAACATTGATTTTCATCCTGCCACCGCTTCAACCTACAGCCGATGATCTTAACTAATTCTATGTCCGCGACACCACCAATGAAAAATCTACCTTTAATTCAGAAACCTGTGACAATAATACGTATAACACATGAAGTAGTTTTTTGTAATCTCTCTTTTTTCTTAGAAGAATTTAAATTATTACCTACTTATCCACCCCTCTAATCTCTTTTCTTACAACCTTAATCAATAAAATGCTCAGTACCGATGACAAATAATTTATCAAACATTGTTCTCTGGAATGCAAATGATCTTAACTAACATAAACATAAACCGTTAAACTTCTTAAATCTCGTAAATAATATCAACTAAAAATTTATAATGAAGATCTATGTAACTAAATCACAAAAACTTAAGTTACCTGGCTACTGAATTTATTGAGCAGATCATCCTGATGATGTAGCCCACGCTGATTTGGCTATAGCCACTAACTCTAAAATAGTACATTCA